TAATATATTTTAAAAAGTAGGGTTTGCTAAAAGTATGATATTCCATTAGTTCTTCAAAGGACACAATTTTAAGATTATTTTCTTAGTAAAAAGAACAAAATGCACAAACTCTCATACAAGTCACTTAAAAACCTCTGTTCTAATACAGATTACTTGTAAAACTAAGTTGATCCTGGCAAAATCTACAGCAAATAATTCACGTTGCATTATATAATTTTCATCTGCTCCGAGCAGAGATTCTCTGCCTTGTTTGCAAAAACAAGATTCATGTATCATTTGAAGTGTTCCGTAAATGTGATAGAAATTTCTGTTTATATATCTTTTTTATCTTATGCATAGTCAAAACAATCTGACATGGAACTCTGGCTTTCCTGTGGGTAAGCGATATCCTAGACCAGATATCTTCTTGGCTAGGTAGGCAGTGTATTAGCCCTCTCCTTTAGAGTACGGATAATATAACTTACTGACATCATCAGATAGCACAATACATTTTGAATGCATATTACATGCTCTTTTTTTACATTTTCCATGTTAGAAAATGTTTCCCATTTAAATTTCTTATTTTTTCTCCCTGCCATATATTTTTTTATTCAAACCTTTGAATGCAACTAAGGATGGGGAAGAAATGTGTTTGGTTCATGTTTTAACATGAACTCACAAAATTTCACACATCTGAATGAACAGGCAAACAAATAAACAAACAAAAAACAAAAAAACCCTGAAATTTGTTGATATTTTGCAGCCAGTTCTCGAGTTAAAATAAAATTTTAAAAAGCTACATAATGTGGCAAAGTACACATAAAAATACATATATTAGTGAACATGCTGTATGTTTGGATAGCTGGTTGCAAAAATATATGTATTAGGCAAAATTTCATTCAAAAATATGCATTTGGAGAATGCATATAACAGTGCATACTGTTATATATTGGCAGAGGGACAGACTTTCAAACTGTTATTCAAGTTCAGGATAAAGTGGAAGCTGAGAGAAGTCAAAATTGTCAGATTGATCCACCCTGAAGTAACAGATTACAGTTGTTAATTGACAAGGCAGTACTAGCTCTATGGTGACCATAAGGTGACACACAATGACCATATTTCTTGTCCTTTTAAAAATCTGAGTAAATGAAAGTACCATATGTTCCATTTTTCCCAACAACTTTATCCCACATTCTACTACCTCACAGTATCTCATATGAAATGTGAGCATGTGGTGTGTGAATTCTCCTTACTAATAGTGTGGTACACATTGCAAAAAAGAGAGAAAACGTCATCCAGAAAGAGAACAAAAAACAAGGCACATTTTCAGAAAATGTACATGTGTTAATTTATACATATAGAAGCACATTTATTTAAAAAATTACTATTAATAAAAAAGAAGTATAATAATCTTACCATAGTAATCTTTAGTGTGTATCTTTTATTCAGATCCTAACTGTTGGTGACAACTTGCTCTCCACAATTTTTTTTAAAAAAGTTTTACACTCTATTTATAGCCCTTCACAAAGTACAGTATGCCTACTTATTGCTATTTGGCAAGACTATACCATGTCCTTTCAGGATGGAGAGATAAACTAAGCTGATCTTCTCCCCAAAGTTGATAGATTTGATGGGTTGTCAAGGAGGTTGCCTCCACTACATCCTGTAAAAGTCCTGGTGCATTTCTGAAAGCAGGAACTGATTCAGGATGTAGACTTTGATAGCTCTATGTCTCCTTCACCGAGAGCTTGGACGTAATAGGTCCCAAATAATTATTTAGATGCAAATAATTCCATACTGCACAACTCAGTTACATTGCGGCTGTAGCATAGCAAGGGGTAATACCACATCTCCTGCACCATAACTATAACTATCTTTAGGACAGACTAAATTATCCTAGATGGCAGAGCTCCTATCAAGGTATATTGGGTCTCATGTATGAACTCACAGCTGTGATTATGATGAAAAGCAACACCTGCAGAATATTGACCTGTGCTTGAGTACTTAAATTGACAGAAGCCATGTCTTAGTGGAAATGTGGTTAACCTAGACCTAGGACATGAAAATTGAATTGATATGCCAGTGAACAATTCTGTTTTACAATGCAGTTTGATTTAGCTCAAAAGACTAAAATGAGATGCTTCAGTGTCATTAATCAATTTGATTAGACAGAATGACATAAGAATTTCTCAGTGAAGGCATATGATAGCAAAATCTCAGGCTGTGCTGTCCATTTGAACATTGTGTTTTGATCTCATCCATAATTTTTATGTGAATTGACAATCAGGTTGAACATGTCCTAGGACGTACTTTTAAAAAAACTGGTATCCAATAATAGCTCATTGGCTTAGGTATCTGACTGTGGAGCTGGAGGCTGGGAGTTTTGATTCCCTACTATGCCTCCTACAAGTACAGCCAACCTGTGTGGCCTTGGGCAAGCTGCACAAGCCCAGGATACCCCCCCCCCCGAAGAAGAGAATGATAAAGTACTTCTGATTATGCTTTACTTGGAAAACCCTAAAAAAAGTGGTGATAAGTCAGAAGTAACTTGATGGCACATGATTATTATAACGGGGGAAGAAAGATTCAGACTGGAGCCATAAACACATCTACAAGACCCAAATCAAGACATTCTGCTGTTTGAGACAGAGTGGCGCATGGCACTCTCCACTTCCCAAGTCAAAATGTATACTTTCCTAGTACAAAGAAATTATTATGGTACCCAAGAGAGAACATTTTATAAGGACCTTTCCCCCATGCTGGCTGTAAAAACACAATCATAACAGAACACACTTCTAGCAGTTTGTTGAACTTCCATGGCACATGGTACATCTGTTACCCAAGGGAGGCACTCACTCTGCCTCAGGACTTGTCCCAATGCTTTCTAATTAGGGTGTAAGTAACCACTGAATACTGTACAGTGGGGGATACTTCTGCAGAAGCATGCATGCCGTGGTGCTGTCTATGTCTCCTGCTTTTTAAAAATAGAATGTGGCCATTTGTTCTCACTCCCATGCTACCTTCAGCATGTAGCACAGATTGCTTGCATGTTACCTGTTTACAGATATGACAAATAAGAAGGAGAGAGGATTATTCGGAGCAGAAATGTGTCTGATTCCTTGCTTGAAGAAGCAAATACAGATAATAAAATCATTTGTTCCAGAAATCTCTCCAAAGTAATTTTTATCAAAAAAGTCACAAATTATTTCAGACAAATGTATTGTTTTATATAACATGCAGATTCTTTTGATTTAGTGCAAAAAAGTGTAGAAATTCTCCATGGGGAGTTTCCCCCCCTAAAAGCTATAGCCAAGCAGGGGGGAGTGTTTTGTCACAAACACAACAGGGAATGAAGAGTTAATCCTTCCCAGGAGAAGATAATCTCTTTTACTGATTAATCAACAAATTAAAAAATCAGATGTAATTCTTAATGATGCATTTAGCGTCCTGTGTAGGTTGACCCTCAGGATGCACTTCAACCCACTGAAAGCCTGCTTAACTCTGCACTGAATAGCAACTATTATTGTGATATTTAAGTGTTGTAAAGTTTTCAAGCATTTAATTTTATACCATTCTGGCCATACCATTTCATTTAAAATATAGGAAATGTTTAACAACTAGGATTCAAACTATCCCTGGGCAACTGCCTCCCCTAGATTTGAGTAAGGCCCATCTCCTGGGAGTGCCTGCTCTTCATTGCAGAGGGTTACCTGGGTTCATTGGATTAATCTGTTGCAATAGGTGCAGAACGTGGAAAGTTCCTAGCTATGAGTGGTGGGACATATATAGAAGCACTTAAGGCAGGTCAGATGTGATGGCAAAGTTATTCCCAATCTTGACTTCCAATTCTTTCCAGCCATTCAAGCTACATGCATCACCATAGTGTTGTTCGTACTTACTTGATGAACTTTGGCCACTGTTAAGACTATAGAGACTGTCCATGGAGTCACTGGCTTTCAGAGAGACCTTCTCAGTGTTTGATCCTCCCCCAGGATCACTGTCTCTATTAGAGCAGGAATTATCTTTTCCTTCTTCGTCCTTTAGAAGCAGGGGGGAGAGAGAACACATTTTAAATATAAGGATATAGAGTGCAGGCATCTATTCTTAATGAGAATATGTTCAATAAGGCTTTAGTCTTTCGGACATACCCGGTGTGGTGTAGTGGACAGAGTGGCAGACAAGGATTCTGGAGATGAGAGTCTGAATCCCTATTGCTTAAAGTAGGCCCATTTAAAGAATGGAACTTATGGAGTAGTGGACCACCAAATCCCCACTGATTCAGTGAGCTTATTCTAGTTGCAGCTTTCTACACTAAATAACCTGATTTCAGCTAATGAAATGTAGTGGATTCTAGCACCGTGGCCACGAAAGAAATAATTTTGGATTCCAGAAGTTATGTGGAATGTAAAACCTTGTGAATTTCTGAATAAAACATATGCTTCTCCTAACTTCATAAGAGTGGAACTAACTAGAAACTGATTCCATGAGTTAACGAGGAGGCAATTTCTCATACAACAACAGCAGAACCACCACAACCACCAAGTCCATGTTGTGTGGAAGGGTGTCCCAAGGGCCACAGTGTAGAACAAATTTCTCTGTCCACCTAGATCTGTTAATACTCTTACTCTACATTCACACACATAGAAACATTCACTGGCATTGTTGTTCTGCTGATGACAGCTTGACAGCAGAAAGGGGTCATTCCATGGATAAATCAGAGGAAGCTTTGGCTCTGCTGGATCCTGCCATGTCATTGAAAAAAGTGTGTCAGTGGGACTATTTATTTGTTGCTGTCATTTAGGAAAAAAAACAGTAAATATAGGATGAGAGGAGGGGAAAATCCAGATCCGGGGGGGGGGGGGGTAGGNTAGAGAACTATTCTATCCCTGCTTCTCTTAAGCCCCTGCTGGTATAAAAGCCCCAAAGAGTCTGGATTTGGTAGATTCTCTGCCTTGAAGTCTCCTTCAAAGCAGAGAAAGATTGTCTGGTCTCATTTCCAGTGATTTCAGCAAAGTCACATGGAAGCATGTGGGGTGTACTTGAGTGCTTACAAAGCCATAAACCAGAAGATAGTAAGAGCTGCTGGAGATCAAAGCAATTTTGACAGGGGAGATACAGTTCCAGTCACTCAGAACAATGGTTTACTCCTCTCTGACATCCTCTGCACAACCACTGTCACTTTCAGAGTCATTTTGTTTTCAGACTTCAAAAGATGGGGCATGAATGTGTGAAGTTGTAATAACACATAATAGAGTAACAGCAACTTTTTTGAAATCTTGAATTGTTGCCCTCCATGAACTTCAAGGAATGATGTTGGAATCCTGGCAATTTTGAGGCCTACTAACACTTCATTGTGTGTAGCACTGAGAAAGCATCTATCGATCGATCTATCGATCTATCGATCTATTGATCGAATACATATACCACCCCATTGGTTCAAGCTCTACGCTGGACAATTTACACAAAATTAAAATTTACAAACCTCAGTATTCCACAACAACCAAAAATGCATTCAAAAACAATATGGTGATTTAACAGACGATAATTGTAACCATCAATAGAAATAATCCTTTGAAAATTTAGAATTAATTTTTAAAAGTTGTTATGGAGAGCAGGATTCATATAGATGTTAAAGAGCACTGGGGAGATAACTGACCACTGCGGGACCCCATAATAGAGATCCCAAGGGCATCCCTAAGCTCTCCTTGGAAATTGGCCATTAAGAAAGGGCCACTGAAATACAGATCCCTCAGTTCCTAAACTTGATACCTCTTGCAGAAGGATACCATGGTCAATCCACAGAAAGATCCACAAGGATCAGCAGGATTACACTCTCCCTGTCTGCCTCCCTTAGGAGATCATCTTGCAAGGTGTCCAATGCTGTTTCAGTACCATGTTGCAACCTAAACCCCAACTGAAATGGTTCCAACTGATCAGCTACCACCTTCTTGATCCATTTGCCCAAGAAAATAATATTGAGATGGGCCTGTAGTTGTTCAAATCATCCATTGCCAGATAATTTTTATTAAGAATGAGCCGTATTAATGTTTCTTTTAAGGAGGAGAGCATGAGGCCTTCCTGGAGAGAAGCATTGATTATATGAATGACCTATTCAACCATTGTGTCATTAGTAGATTTTAATAGTCAATATAGGCAAGAATCGAAAATAGAGGTAGTAGAGTTACAGTGTGCAAGTGCCTTGTCTACATCCTCAGACCTTACTAACAAAAACTGGCCCAGTAAAACCTGACTAGATGGTGCACTGGACATACAGTATATATAAATAAGAATCTGGGATCACCTTAACCCATATAGAATGTTTATTAGCATATGACAGCAATCGCTTAATCTTTTGTATTAAAAAAGGATGGTTATTGTTGCAAGAAGAACACTTTGAATGTGTCACTCTCTGTCATTCTGTACATCAAGCTATTAAGCAATAACTTATCATCTAAGAAAAGGGGAACCTGGGGAAGCAACATTTGTTACCTCATACCTAGTCCCCATAGCATGCATGCAATGAAGAGACACTAACTTCCTTGAAACATTACAATAAATTTGTAAGAGCAGAACACATTATTGAGTTTGCTAAATGGGACAAAGGTGATGAAAAGTTTATTTATTTGCTACATGTATATAATGCCTTCCAGTGACGTCAGAGTTGTGGACATAGCCGTATCAAGCTGAAAGAGAATGATTGGCTTAAGGGGAGTTGAAGCAGGAACTTCTGTCCAGCATTAACCACTCCGCTGGTGCACTTTTGACACACCGTATGAAACTGCTCCGCATGCCCTCATGAGAGGATGCATTAACTACAAGACAGAGAAAGTGCTTTGACTTAGGCTATGATGACATGGACATATAGCCTGCATTTTGGACTCCTTTTGACACAGTCTGGTGCAAACTATTTTCACACAACATATGAGAAATAATACTCCAGCCTGACCCAATCTGTGCCAAGCCTGATCTTTTTGGTTAACTAGAAAGAGTAATACACAGTCTGGTGCAAACTATTTTCACACAATGTATGAGAAATAATACTCCAGCCTTACCCAATCTGTGCCAAGCCTGATCTTTTTAGTTAACTAGAAAGAGTACTTTTTTTGAGGCTGGGCTGGAGTGACTCCCCAGTGGATGGATGGAAGGGAGATCATCTCTGGCAAAGCTGCCCTTTCTGGTGGGACCAGACATGACTCTGTCTTATCTTACTAAGGTTTTTAAATTATCAGACATTCCAGAGGAGAATTCTATGACATTCAAAAATATTGTAATTTAGCTTTTCAGAATGGAATTATCTTACAAGTAAACTTCCCATGATGTTTCTTAGATACATTTTTACTGGCTGAAATGCAGTATTAGCACTAATATAGACATATTTTCACATAGCTTAGTATCAAAAGTGTATAGGGAAGTTACTGTATCAAAAGAATATAGGGAAGTTACTGTATCAAAAGTATAGGGAAGTTACTGTATAAAAGCAATTCCTTGCTCATTACAGTGGTTTACAAATAACCTGTTGTTACTAATTACACTCTTAGGAAAATAACTCCTTGACCAAATGCTAATACTAATTACTAATTACACTCTTAGGAAAATAACTCTTGACCAAATGCTAATACTAAACTCTAAAGCCCTTTATGGTTTAGGACCTTTTTACCTGGCAGAGCACCTCTCCCTCTTGTTGACCTCCCATCTCCCCTTTACCTCCCAATCTCTGATGTTGCAGGTGGCCACTCCAAAGGAGGCCCCAAAGTCACCAACTATGAACCAGGCCTTCTTAGTAGTGGCCACCTCACTTTGGAATGCCTTTCCAGTGGAGGTGCATCAGGCCACCTACCTCATTAGCTTCAGGAAGTAAATTAAAATGTGGCTCTTTACCCAAGCCTCTTTACCCCCATTTAAATGTTATGTATAAGGTAATTTCATGTTGGCTCTATTGTATTGGTTCATTGTTTAACACCTGATTTAGTTGTCCTAGCTTTGCCATCTTGAGATTCAGTGGTGTTGTCGGAGAGGTGGTCTTTAGGATAAGTTCTTAGTTTTTGTTATGTTTATTGTTTTAATTCTGTTTGCATATTTATGTTACATTTTGCAGCTACCCAGAGTAGTAGCTTGCCACTAGATGGGTAGGGAATGAATGAATGAATGAATGGATGAGTTAATGAGTTATGCAAATCAGAAATAATATAGTGTGCACAATTGGGCAGCTCTCTATCATGTAAGTACATCTCAGTCACATGTTCTGTTCTGCACCTAGCCATGTGGTCAGCCATGCAACAGGTGATCACAAAACTGCACAAGCAGCCTATGCAATCTCCCTTATGCACGTGATATCTTGCAACAGGGTATTGCCCTTACATTACTCATTGTGCTGTTCCTTATCTTCTACTGTTATTTTTCTGAAGCAAAAAACTTAGGCTTGGTAATGCAACAACATACAATATTTGAAACATTCCTATCAAAATCCATTTAAAAAGGATTTGATATGCCTTTAAAAGTGATTTTTCAACATAAATTTAGAAATTATACACCAATAAAGTAGCTATATTTCTACTTGTCATGGTACTTTTAAGCTGAAACTTCATTACATCCTCTGTATCCTTAAAAGTAGCTAGCTGTAGGTTATTTGCAACTTCTTACCTCCATTTTCTACTCAATATCATTTTGCTTACTTACTCACCAGTGTATGTACAAGTTGTCTCAATCAAGAAGCACCATAGGTCTTCTGGCAATAAGCTTTCTGTTTTACAGGTAATTTTATTTCATTTATTATAAACATCCTATATGTGGGTAGCACTGGGTACATTTCCCCCACCCCTCATAAATCAGTCCCTCATCTCTCCCTGCCTCCAAACTGCAGGTGACTGTGTAGAATGGGAATATATTTGTCAAAATCTAGATATGTAACAAAATGAAATAATTGCATTTAGATTAGGCATCCTTCAGTCTTGAGAGACTATGGTAATGTGCTCTGTATGGAGGACTTGGAACGGCATCTATTGTGGCTGAGGAGGCCAATTCGAGAGTGACAATCCCTTCCACACTGAAGACAAATACAATCTGTCCCCTGTCCAGCTCCCTGATTTTGCTGGTTTCAAGACAGCCTCTTTGCCTCGGCCTTCTGGAGAAGGGTCTCTTGAAATTGGGAGAGGCCATGATGCACTGCCTGCCTCCAGGCTAAATGCTCAGATGTCAAGGTTTCCCATCTGTTGAGGTCCATTCCTAAGGCCTTCAGATCCCGTTTGCAGATGTCCTTGTATCGCAGCTGCAGTCTCCCTCTGGGGCGATTTCCCTGCACTAATTCTCCATACAGGAGATCTTTTGGAATCCAACCATCAGCCATTCTCACAACATGCCAAGCAAATGTAGACGTCGCTGTTTCAGTAATGTATACACGCTAAAAATTCCAGCTCATTCTAGGACTACTCTATTTGGAACTTTGTCCTGCCAGGTGATACCAAAAATGTGTTGGAGACAATGCATATGGAATGTGTTCAGCTTGCTCTCCTGCCATGCACAAAGGATCCAGGACTCACTGCAGTACAGGAGTGTGCTGAGGACACAGGCTCTATAGACCTCGATCTTGTTATATGCCATCAGCTTCTGATTAAGCTGTACTCTCTTTGTGAGTCTAGAGAACATGATAGCTACTTTGCCAATGCGTTTATCCAGCTCAACATCTAGGGAGAGAGTGTCAGAGATTGTTGAGCCAAGGTACACAAAGTCATGAACAACCTCCAATTCTTGCGTGGAGATGGTAATAGAGGGAGGTGAGTCCTGGCCCATGACTTGTGTTTTTTTCAGGCTGATTGTTAAGCCAAAGTCTTGGCAGGCCTTACTAAAATGATTCATGAGTTGTTGGAGGCCTTCAGCAGAGTGGACAACAATAGCTGCATCATCGGCAAAGAAGAAGTCCCGCCTGCATTTCAGTTGGACTTTGGTCTTTGCACTCAATCTCAATTTAGTG